AAAAATTGGAATTACCACTATTTTATTCTCTACTGTAGGTTGTCTGCTTTCAGAAAATAAATTGGGGGTTTTGTGTAATCTTCAGGCCTAAAATTATTTTTTAAACGTGTGCAAAAAATGCAAAAACGAAAGGGTTAATCCTTACGTTGATGCATGTGTGCTAGAGATATCCACACCCAGTGTATAGAACTTGCATGTGTTTCTACTAACAGCTGATAGGAGCGAGATAATTGCAATTATTCCTGAAGCTTGTCAGCGATTATGCACATTATGTATAGTGTTTAATCTTGTACACTGATCTGTACGCGGGCATTGACATTCCTAATGTACTGGAGAGGGAGGGGTCCATGAAAACCCAAAAAAGACCTTTACACAGTGGGGGAGGGTATGTATGCTGTAGTACATTGCACAAGAATTTCAGGATATACTAAACATAACAAGCAAGCAGACAAGGTAAGTAAAACACAGAAAAAAAACATAAGGCAGGGGAGGTTTAAAGCCAATTTGTATTATTGTGTTGCAGTAACATTTACATGCACATTAGATGCATTGGTGCAATGTGGTGTCATGGATTCTGAATGGCATTCCAATGCACCCTGGTGATGAATGTGTGATGCTCAGGGCTTTTTTGCACTGGGAACATGGGGAAGTGCAGTTCCGGCACCTCCAGCACTGAATGTATGTAATGGTAAGGTGTGCTGGAGGGTCTATTAATCCTGGCTGCTGAGAGGTCTATTATTGTTGAGGAGGTCTTATGTTGCTGGGGGGTCAGTTGTTGCTTGTGGGGGGTCTAATGTTGACAAAAAGGTATATTGATGCTGGTTGCTGGGAGATCTGTTGTTGCTGCTGGGGTCTGTTTGAGCTATTGTTACTGAGCTGGTATTTTGTTTTAGGAGTAAAACTGTTGCAGCAGGGGTCTATTGTTGTGGGGAGATCTATTGTTGCTGCTAGTATATTGTTGTGGGGGGGGACTAATGTTCCTGGGGGGATCTATCGGTGCTGGCTGCAAAAGGTCTATTGTTACTGTTTTTTTTTTTTGTTATCATGAACAAATGCTATACAAATTACTTTGCACCACAAAATAATACTTGATTCTGTATTCTCTAAAATGGGCAGTACTAGGAGGTGTGTAGGGGGTGGAACCAAGGGACAGTGCTCAGAGGTGGGTAGGAAGCGAGGACAGGGGGTGATTCAGAAAGGGGGAGTTCCTGCACCTATTCTCTGAGAAAAAAAGCCCTGGTGATGCCACATACAGGATTGCAGTGTGCTAACAAAAATGGTACATGGTATGGTATTGGTGTGTTAGGCAGTTCATTCAAATTAAAAAGCCTCCTTGACGCAGCGCATGTTAACACGCTTGTGTGAACACACTACAGTGTTGTTATGGGGCCCTGAATTTACAAAAAAAAATTATAGTACAGGGCAAAATGAAATGCAATATTTTGTTGTAATATTTATGGATTAGACTGCAAAATATATTAGTAGGTAACTGATTGAGCGTTATGGTCTGCAAATGTCAGCAATGTTTTAGCAGAAGAACAATATATTTAAACTGGCCATACACAGTTATTTATTAATTTTTTTCATGAATAGATTCCTCCATTCACGATGTACGGATTGTATGAACAAATTCCCTGCTGTAGCTTACTGTATTTTGACAGCCAACTGTCAAAATACCTGATCAGTAGTTGGGGTGACCAGAAAATTTTCAGCAGGATCCTTCAAAAAGTAATTTGAAAGATCAACTTTTATCCAACAGGCCAGGACCAGCAGGGCCACCTATTGAGTGAATTTAATTTGATTCCTGTGAAATTTTGGACAATGTATGGACAGCTTTAGCCAAGATTCACATATTTATAAGCAGACCTATTTATGCACCTGTACTTTTTTGTTTTTGTTCATATCTGTGTGTTGTGGTGCTATAAAATGTAGGTTCCTTGTATTGGGGATGTGTGGGGGGGGCTACTTAATTTAATGTCAGTGCAATCAATACAGTACTGTAACACACACAAAGGTTTCCATCTGGTCTTAGAATGCACACACTAAAGTGCATTTGTAAGTAAAAGGTTTTTTTTTTGTTTTGGATAGAATTGAGAAGGGTTTTATGCTCTTAGCAGGGGCAGACTGACCATTTGGAAACTCGGCACTGCCCAAGAGCCCGGGGTCAGTACGGGGCCCCATGAGATGCCCCTGGTACCTTTTTCATATGCTTTTTTGAGTTTGGGCAAGGACACAGGGGCCCCATGATCCCCTATTGCCCGTGGGCCCCATGATTTGTCAATCCGTCCCTGTCTCTTAGTATTAATTACTCATTGTGTCTCCATTGAATATATCTATATTTGTATTTGAGGCTGTGACAAAAATGAGGTCTGATGACTCCAAACTGTAAGGAGAGGATAGGAAAGTCATATTGCACACAGTGCCACATTCATTTGTCTAAAATACGCAAGTCAGTAACAAGAACAGTTACATTAAAATCAGGATTGCACCAATACCATTTTTTTTTACCAGCGAGTATGAGTACCAATTTTTTCAGTTAAGTACTCGCCGACACTGAGTATCAATACCTTTGCAGTATGATTTAAGCCCATACAAAATGAATGGGCTCAAACTGCACTGCAAAGAATCACATGTGATTTGAACAGGAATGCGGTGCTATTCCTGTCCAAATCTCATGTGATTTCCCTCACCGCTCCTGTGTGAATCCAGTATGGAAAGACAGGGAAGTGCTAAAGTGCATATCTCGCATGTCAAATCCACATCTGCATGGTCATAGTGTCCCTGTCCCACGGGACCTGCCGATGATGGAAAACCACAGCCACTTGCAGTGCTCACAGACAAAATATTTAAATATCATATCTGTGGTTGGAAGCCGTTAAGGATGATATATTTAATAAGACTGTTAGTTAGCTCAGTAATACACAGTTTGTCCTAAAACAGAGCATTTAAGGAATACACATTTGTCAGAGTGGGGTAGTGACCTATACTGGCATACAGAGGAACTTCAAGTTGTTGTAAAGGCTCAAGGTTTTTTACCTTCATGAATTCTAAAATCCAAAAAACCAAGCTGAAGGACTAGTTACTGTCTCCTGGATGCAAGTCTGTGTGGAAAATGAGTGTTGGCTGTGCAGGACTATATGGGAAGCTAAATCTTTAGTGACTCCTAAGGGGGTAATGCTACAGAAATAAAGATACAATTAAAATAGATAGCATTGTGCCCACTGAAACAAAATAAAATACCACACCCCCATCAGACCCTTTGTTTGGGTATATTGATTCTGTAAATGTCCTCTCCAGGAACCAGAAAAGATGGCTGCATTAGCAGTTCAAGGCTTTTGTTTGACAATGAAAACTGCTAGGGATACTAAGGGAGGTCACGTTTCTGGGAGTCAGTGATTGATCTATCAGATTGGACTTACACCAGGGGCAGACTGACCTTTGGCCCGGGGTCAGTAGGGGGCCCCATGAGATGCCCCTGGTACCTTTTTCATAGGCTTTTTTGAGTTTGGGCAAGGACACAGGGGCCCCATGTTCCCCTATTGCCCGGGGGCCCCATGAGTTGTCAGTCCGCCCCTGACTTACACTGCAAGCTAATTGGACTGTGCATAGAACCAAAGACCAGGCAAACTTTCCTGTGGAGGAACAAAAATACTAAGCTACCTTCACGACCAAAAAATAGATAACTGTGTGTGAAGCTCAGAGGTCTCTAGTGTACCAGTATGGTGGAATCAAAGCATCCAATCCCTCTATGTTTGAGAAACAACAACAATTGTAATAAACACATTATTGCACTTGCCAAATGGAATCAATGGTCTTGATTTAATAAAGGAATAGAGCATGTTCACTTTCAACCTGCATTTTTACTTTGCAAATTAAATTTTTCACTTATCTTAGTCAATAGTGTTAAACAAAGTTAAATTCAATTCGAAAAGAATAACCAATCATGTGCAAGGTAAATTAACAAAAATCATTTTTGCTAGCATATGATCAATAAAACTAGACTTCATTCACTAAGCAAAGTGAAAATTCCTTATACAATCAGAAAATGTACTTAAATTGCTGGTATTTTTTTTATCCATGGTTTTATCTGTGATAAAAAGAAGGCTGCCGTTGTCCACAGTCCTCCAGAACTTTCCTGGCTAATATACAGATTTTCTGATTTCAGAACTTTAAGGATATATTTGAATAGGCGTTTAGCCATGGTGCAAATCCCAGTGGCAAGAATCTGATTCCTGCTGATGGTTTTGACAGCTATGAGTGGGTAGCTGTATCCTTCAAGTCCATACACTGCAATGCAAGCAGATAATCACTTGCTGTGCAAACATCTAGGAATACCTGTGACCATTGGTGGTTTGTCATTGTCATGTACAGGCTCGGCGGCCACATCTATCTCTGCTCACAGCTTTCAAAACAAGTAGCAGGAACCAGTGGAGCCTTGCTGATGGGATTTGCACTGTGGCTAAATGCCCGTACAAATATAGCCTTAGTCACTGACCTAGAGCATGTTGGCAGCCAATGAAGACACAAACTCTGAGCTGGGTTCTTGTCCATTAACAGTGACTCCAAATGGAATGGAGCTAAAGGACAAGCTTGACAGCATAACATGTAAAAAGATCCAGGTATGACTTTATTTCAGTAAAGTTCAAGCAGTGGTGTAGCACTTCAATTTACATTTTTTTACATTACACTACAAGCCAATGAGACCATGGAGGTCCTTTGGGATGTAGAAGCCCCTTGCCTGGGAACCAGAATATTTACATCAATATAAATACTTTATGGTAGCAATAGCAATGTGATTTATGGGTCCAGCACTATTTTTTCCACTTTCCTTAACTAAGCTTGATAGCAAGGCAGCTAGTATTTTCATTAGGAACTTTGTTTTTATTGCCAAGAGATTTTGTGTTGATGCGAACTGAAGTGAAAAGTAAATGACCAGTGTTTTAACCCCTTTATAACTTTTTTATGTGTTTCAGTGTCAGTGACTCCCCACTTCAGAGACAATGGAGTTTGGTGGTGTTGGGACACTCATCTTGACTGTCTTCATCGCCTTTCTCATATTCTTCTTAACATGGAATGATAACAGCAAACGAAAGGACCTACCTCCGGGGCCCACTCCTCTTCCTCTGCTTGGGAACATTTTACAGCTGAACGTCAAAGAGCTGCATCAGTCCCTCTTAAAGGTGAGGACAACCTTCCTTTAATCAAATCAGTGCTTTGATCCTACAGGGCATAGAAATAGGTACAAATAACTGTCACCAACCCCTCCCCCGCACACTGCTTATACTCACCCCCCCTTTTCTCTCCTACAGCTCAGTTTACCCATTGATGCAAAAAAAAAAAAAAAAAAAATGCAGTTGCTCTGGGTATGGAGGAGCATGTGTCTTTTTCCTCTTTCTCCCAGTGTTGGGTGTTTGGGCAGCCAGCCACCATCACATGTTGGTAGATATTGAGGTTTTAGTCCTGTGTAAGCTTTGACCTGATCAACTTGGATCTTACATAGGAATTTTTCTCTCAACACCTGTGGGCAAGCAGAGTAGGAGAAGGGAAGAAAAACTGGGCATATTTTAGTAGAATTTTGTGCAAAAATGTTCATTATAAGAATGTTTATGTGTTTTTCTTTTTGTTAGTGGAGACACATTGATGTTGGTTTTTTACCACAGTGATAAGAAAATTCGAAGAAGCGGGATGGAAAATTTTTCTCGAATGAGCACATTTCTAAGAGTTTATGTGGTTTTTGTTAGGGAAATTATATTCACTTGAAAATCACACACCTTTCCTGCAACACGTTTTCATGCGAATTGGCCCTGAGTGAAGCCCAGAACCTGGCCCCTCCAAAAAGCAGTTATAAATGTGTGATTTTTACGAGGTTATGTGGAAGAAGGTTATCCTTTTGAGCTTTGGCACTGGAGAAGGATGTTATGCTTGCCGTGGACAATGTGCAGAACTAACAGACTGATTTTGGAAGAGAGTAAACCAGTCCCCTGTCACTAGAAGCCCAAATGATGAAGCTACAACTGTCCTATTTTGGTCACACAGTCAGAAGAGAGATTACTGGAGAAGGAAATAATGTTTGGGAAGATTGAAGGAACCAGGTGAAGAGGGAGACCAGCTACTGGATGGTTGGACACATTGACAACAGATGGTTGAATGACATTGGAAGATCATGCCTTGACTTCTCTGTAGATCTCTCATTCATCAAGTTGCTAGGACTCAGTCCTAAGTTGACGGCACTTAACTAACGTACTATCGAGCAGAAAAGGTTGCCCCATATGAGTAGATTGTTTATTGAAAGTTTCAGCTTTCAGGTGCTAGAATCTGTATAATGTGAATTTGTTTAGCACAAGATGGTGGACTAGTATCCTAGCTGCTCAACCAAATCCACTCAGAGTAGTGAAATGACTGATAAATACTCTCTACAACAGAGAGCGCTTGGGATAAATGTTCACAAGATGGTGCTAGAATTGAATCAATGTTCTGATGCACCAATGGCAAGCAAGACAACATATATCCAAACATCCAGTGAATTAAAGGAGGAAATTTATTGAGCAACAATAAATTCACACCCATTAAAATGAACCTTAGGCATATAAGGATCAGAAAGCACAAGTATTCATCAATAGCGGTGGCAAAGATGGTAAAAATTGTCATACCGGCTAGGAATAGAGTGAGCTGTAATCTGGGTGATCCTTTTGTTATCTTGAAGACAAACAGCCATTTCTTCAGCCGTGCACGCGCCCCCTAGCCAGAAATGCGAAATCACATACCTGTATGTGTATATATATATATATATATATATATATATATACATGATTTTGTGCACCCGTACCACCCTGTAACACTAATTCTGCTATAGGGCAGTTGGGAAGCAGTTTAAAGTATAACTAAAGGAAAAAACTTTTTTTTTTTTTATTAATTTGAATTGAGTGGTGTGAGATGAAATCACTTGCCAGTTTTTTTTTTTTGCTGTCTGTGCCTGTGTTAGGGAGATTCTCCTTTTCTATTTGACCTGTTTACCATTTTCATTGAAATTGAAAGTAAAAGAAAACCCCACATTTTGTGTTGTCCCCAGAAAAAGTAATAGAGGTGCAATCATCCAATGGTGACACTAGTTCTGCTGACCTGGGGGTCCCCAAGGAATTCTCTTAATTTGCAGAGATTTCCTTTCAATTCCTGTTTGGCTATAGGTCAGGAAGTGAATGGAAATCTCTGCATTGGGACACAGATGACAAAAAAAAAATCTGACAGGGGTTATAATCTTCCCTTGCTCTATCTAAAATAAAAAGTTTTCCCTATAGTTCTATGAAACTATAATTGTTTTGTGTCAATTTTATCTTTTTTGTTTTTTACATTTTTTAGGTTTTTAGTTCTCTCATTCATCAAAAAAATAAAAAATAAAACACATAAAAAACACGCACAAAAAAAACAGGGCAGTCTTTTTGTGTTTCTAAACGATTCTGTAGGTTAACATTCACAGAGTTTCCCCTGCTAAAAAATGTTCCACATGCAAACTATCAGCGTACAACTGTGTGTGCTACTAGTTCCGAGACCACACAGCCAGTGTTAGTTTCAGACTAACAATCAGAAACAAATCAGTGAGATTTCCAATCATACCTCTGCCACAACAGCCAATCATGCTGATCACGTGCAAGCTGGAAGCTTGTTTTTAAAGAAAAAAAACATCCCAAATGCAGATGATGACTATTTACCTTGTCATCTGCCTGTGCACTGGTGCAATGGAGAGATATCACCAACTGAAGTTTCTCTTGAAAGCGACACTTCAAGGTATGTCAATCTCTTGTGTCCCCCACTGCACTTGGTGACACTTCCTGGCCACCTCCAAATTGCTTCAATATCCTATAGTGACATACAGGAACTGCTCAATGAAGCTGGGGATACAAGATATTAACACTCCTGGAAGTGTCAGTTTCAGAAAAAAACGTAATACTCTGTAGCAGTATGCCGGGACATAGATAGCAAGAGAGGTAAGTATTCACTTTAAAAGTACAGCTTTTATATGAAATTTTATTTTTGTATCCGAGTCACTTAAAAAACAATGTAGAAAGTATTTAGAACACAAGTCTGTGACTAAAAAGCTGTTTGATTATTTTCATCTAATTTCCATGTATTTTGGTGTGCTGAAAACAAATAAAATATTGAAAAAACTCCAAGACGTCATGATTTGCCACAAAATGCAAAATTGTCTTCAAATGTATCAAATTTTTTAATTTTTGGGTTTTTTTTTTTTATATTATGAGTTTTTAACCAAATTTAAAGTTCAAATTACTATTAATTAATTCACATAAGTGCATTTAAGGTATAAAATGCCAAAAAAAAACCTTAAAGGGGTTGTCCGAGTTTTGTAAAAAAAAAATAGTGCACTGTAAATCTGATGGTCAGCAATATACACATAAGCTAAGCAAGTTTTAGGGAAAAAATTTCTATTTCCTCATTTCCCTAGTTCTCTTCTGGCCCTTTGTTGTTATTTGCAGGTAAACAATCTCTGCCCCTCCCTCTCTGCAAAGGGGGTGAATACAAGTGCTGCTCTGAGTGACATGTCTGACTACTGGGATACTCAGCATCATGCTGTATGTGTAAGCCTCAGCCATGAGTCTGTGCTTCTAATGGTAGAAGGGGTTAATCTTTCCTGAAGAATCCAGTGGGTGGGATACCAAATAGCCTTGTTTTCTGTGTCTATGGGACAGTGGAGACTGACAAAATCACTGGACCAAGAAGAGATGGCAGCCGAGGGTGCTAACAGTCAGTGAAAAAAATGTCCTCCAAGAAACTTTTGTACCTTCCCATAAAGTTCTTCTACCACCTCTCCACATAAAATTGTGATTGATAAAGCAATTTGTAAAATCACTTCCAGAGATGGAGAATGCTTCAAATACTTGGTCACCAAGTTTCCAGGCCTGTCGGAGGCAAAATTGAAGGAAGGTGTGTTCGTCGGACCAGACATTAGAAGCTTATAGTTGATCAAAAGTTTGTCAATACCATGACGGATCCTCAAAGAGAAGGGTGGATTGCATTTAAAGAAGCCATACAGAATTTTTTAGGCAATAACAAAGATCCTCACTACAAAAAGATTGTCGGACGATTGCTGAAAGCATTTCAAGCTTTAGGTTGCCTGATGAGTTTGAAAGTGCATTTCCTCCAGTCCCACCTTGACTACTTTTTCCTGAAAATTTGGGAGCTGTGAGTGAGGAACAAGGTGACATTAAAAAGCTGGAAAGGAGATACCAGGGAAAATGGAGCATTACAATGATGGCAGGCTACTGTTGGATGCTTCAGAGAGACATTCCAGATGCTACTCACAAGCGTAAATGCACCAAGAGGAGCCTTACAGGGAAGAAGAATAGAGTTTAGTGTGTGTAGGTGAGCTCATTTCAGTTCAAAAAAGGATTTTCATGAAAAAATTGTAATAAAACTTTAATTTTATAAGTCTATTTCCATTTATTTTGAGGTATTGCCTTATTTAACATAGTTTACCTAAATTGTCAGGAAACGTGATGTCCTATGACAAAATGGAGGTCGTTTTGGGATTCAGCGCACCAAAAAGCATAAAGATTACGTGAAATAACCAAAACAGCTCTTGAAAAAAATTTTTTTGCAGACCTGTGTAGTGATAAAGTCATTGTCAAGTTAACCAGTGCATACTGACACTGCTAAATCTGGTCTGCCTATTTAGGCTTCAATGAGCTCTGACTATGAAAGTTTTAATAAACGCTTTTGTACTATAGATATATATATATATATATATATATAAAATTATTGCCTCTGGGCTCCCTATCTCTGATTGAAACTGTGTACAGGACCATCTACACAATGATATAAAGTACAACTTTTCTTCTGCTGATTTTTCCATAGCTTGCAAAGATCCATGGAGATGTATTCACTGTCCATCTAGGGAACAGGAGAGTGATTGTCCTGCATGGATACGATGCTGTGAAGGAGGCTCTAATAGATAATGCAGATGTCTTCAGTGATAGAGGAAAAGTGCCTGTAGCTGATTTTGTTTTTTTAAGGGCTATGGTATGTAACAGTCAACAAGGCATGAGCCAATTTCATCATAATAGATATAACTTGAAATGGTCATTTCAGGAATTCTTAAATGATATGTGATTCCATTACCAGGAGTGATTCTGAGCAATGGGGAGCGTTGGAAACAGCTACGGCGCTTCTCTCTCACCACGCTGAGGAATTTTGGAATGGGGAAAAGAAGTGTTGAAGAGCGGATTCTGGAAGAGTCTCAATGTCTTAGAGACGAGCTTAGAAAAAAAGCAGGTGGGCTTACATATAGACTTTCCTTTAGGAGGAAGCAGCCACAATTCAAGTAGAAGATATTGTACCCTGCCACCATAGTACAGAGAGCCCATGCTCTAAGTGTGGAAGCATTGACATCTCCACAGAGGTCTGACATGTCCCCTGTTGAGTCAAATGTAAAACTCTGCAATCAGCAAAGCTCATTCTCCTTGCTGATTGGAGAACTCTAGATGTGATTCATCAGGGAGTTAGACACCTGCAGAGAGACCACTGCTTCCACACAAAGAGCAAGGGTCCTTCTCTACAACTTTGATGGCTTATTTTGTATTGTATGAAGTGAGGGGATCCATGTTTTATCATCATCTCGGGATTGATTGATCATGGAGCAATTACATGCAAGTGATCAGTTCTGGCACAAACATTTGCAGGTAATCGCTGCATGAGTGATAACATGTGAGCAGCCACAATTAGCTGTGGGAACTGTCAGCTTCCCATTGCTTTCAATGGGGCTTCCGCCTGTAGATAGTCACTGGGAATTCCCACTGGGCATCCCACATGTAATCGTTAATGGCCCTGTTTGCTAGTGTGTATGGGACCTTAAGTGTGTTACTAAACCCAGGATCCTGCATTCACTATATCTGGTCTCTCTGGACCCTGCATTCACTATATCTGGTCTCTCTGGACCCTGCGTTCACTATATCCGGTCTCCCACAGTACACACAACATGGAAATGCAATTATTTTAGGAAATATAAACTGCTAAATACCTCTTCTCATCAGCAGTTAGAGCAATCTTGTGACTTCTATCAGTATTCAGGCAAAAATATTGTGCAAAGCTTGTAGAGACATCCCCAAAAAGACGTGCAGCTGTAATTGTAGTAAAAGGTGGTTCTACAAAGTATTGACCCGGGGGGGCCACACTTTTCAGATATTTATTTGTAAAAAATGTTGAAAACTATTTATCATTTTCCATCCACTTCACAATTATGTGCCACTTTGTGTTGGTCTATCACATTAAATCCCAATAAAATACATTTACGTTTTTGGTTGTAACATGACAAAATGTGGAAAATTTCAAGGAGTATCAATGCTTTTTCAAGGCACTGTATACAGACTGATTTTACTGTTGCGGTTTTAGTAACTCTTTAAGCTGGAATTTGATCCTAAAATTAACTGAGATAGATTTTATAGGAGTGGTTATGCCTGTAGCAGAGTGCGACCTTTCTGTCCTTGATACATGTTTCATTGTGTGTAACTCGACATGCAGCTAAACCAGGGGTGGGCAAACTTTTTGACTTGAGGGTCGCAATGGGTTCATATATTGGACCCGGGGGCCGGACCAAGAGTAGATGAATGATGTGTATGTGTCATCCATAGTAAGTATAGTAATATTCCCCCATAGTAAGCATAGTAATTAATCCCCCATATAGTAATTCATCCCCCATAGTAATTCATCCCCCATATAGTAATTCATCCCCCATAGTAATTCATCCCCCATATAGTAATTCATCCCCCATAGTAATTCATCCCCCATATAGTAATTCATCCCCCATAGTAATTCATCCCCCATAGTAATTCATCCCCCATATAGTAATTCATCCCCCATATAGTAAATTCATCCCCCATATAGTAATTCATCCCCCATAGTAATTCATCCCCCATATAGTAATTCATCCCCCATAGTAATTCATCCCCCATATAGTAATTCATCCCCCATAGTAATTCATCCCCCATATAGTAATTCATCCCCCATAGTAATCATCCCCCATAGTAATTCATCCCCCATATAGTAATTCATCCCCCATAGAAATTCATCCCCCCTATAGTAATTCATCCCCCATATAGTAATTCATCCCCCATAGTAATTCATCCCCCATAGTAATTCATCCCCCATAGTAATTCATCCCCCATATAGTAATTCATCCCCCATATAGTAATTCATCCCCCCCTATAGTAATTCATCCCCCCTATAGTAATTCATTCCCCATATTAATTCATCCCCCATATTAAGTCCCCAAGTCCCCCCTGTGTCAATTCACTTACCTTTGCTCCGCGCGTTCCTCTCGCCGTGTTCCCGCGCCGTTCCGGTCTTCAGGGCGGACTGTGAGAGGAGCCTAGCTCCCCTCATGTTCCTCACGCTGCCCCGCCTACACACCTTCTGACAGCCGATGTTTGCCACGCTCCGCGGGCCGGATTAAAAGGTCCGCCGGGCCATATACGGCTCGCGGGCCGTAGTTTGCCCATTGCTGAGCTAAACCCTCCTATTCTGCAATAAGCCAGACAGTGTAATCTTGAAGCTTTATTAACAACATAGGGTGCGTGAAACTATTAGGAAAAACAGAGAAGAAATACATATAATCAATATATGAAATATACAAACACAATGAAATGATTTGGCTGTAAATGGCAAGAAGTCCATGTTCACCAGCAATGCTACCTTTGGGCATAGTTGCCAACTGTCACAAATTTGGCGGGACAGTCACGGGTTTTCAGAAGCTGTCCCAGAGGTGGAGCCTGCCTTCTATTTGGTTTGTTCAGTTTGTTCAGTTTGACTGGAGCTTTCTCTATAAACAAAAAAAGATTGAAAATTTAAAAAAAAACTGTACTTTTTACTTTTTGCTATAAAACATATCCAGGGGAAAAAAAATCGAATTTCTTCATAAATTTAGGCGAAAATGTATTCTGATACATGTCTTTGCTAAAAAAAATCCCAGTACATGTAAATTAATTGGTTTGCGTGAAAGTTATAGCGTCTACAAATGGCAGTATATATACTGGAATTTTTTTTTTTTATACTAGTAATCAGTGACTTATAGCGTCCCGCTATAAGTCACTGATTACTAGTATAAAAAAAAAATTTCCAGTGGAAGTTAGTCAGTTCCCCCCGAGTGTCAGAAAGCCGTCCCGGCTTTCTGACACTCAGGGAACTGATTAACTTTCAGTGATATCCCCAATGACACTAATACAGTGATCTGTGATAATAAAAAGCACTGACACTGTACTAATGACACTGGGCAGGAAGGGGGTTAACATTTGGGGCGATCAAAGGGTTAACTGTGTGCTGTGTGTGTTTTACTATGTGTGCTTTACTATGAAAAGCATGCTGCTTTGTATTGCTCTGGTACGCAGAGCAATACAGAGTAGCATGCTGGTGCTGATAGGGGAGAGATCTGTATTGTTTACATACAGACTTTTCCCCTTTCAGTGTTCATCGGTGATCGCCGGGTGCTGGCGAGTAATCTCCCTTCGGGACCTGGTGATCGACAGCTGTAGCTGCCAGGGGCGGCATGGGTAGGGTGGCACGCACGTGCCCCCTACCCAGAAATGTAAAGTCACGTGTATATATATATATATGTGATTTTGCACAGCCCTACCACCCTGTAGCAGTACGTCTGCTATAGGGTGGAGGGGAAGCAGTTAAAAAAAAAAAAACAGTTCAAGTATATATTCTTAACTCAGAAAAAGTATATTTTATTGCTCTCAGCATTTTTTCTTTTTTGCTCCTTTGATCAGACTTCCTGTTAGAGGGTGGTTACTAGGGGCCTATAAACTGTTAGAAACCAGCTTAAAGTAGAATTCTGGCATATACCTAACTAATTGTAAATCTGCTTCCACACCCCTCCCCACCCAACTATACTAACTACCCCATGGAAGAAAGTTGTATATGCAACGTACTTACCTATTTTTGGGCCACTCCAGTCCAGTCCTGTGATATGGTTCCCCTGTTTAAGCCAGCAATGCTTCAGGGGGGAGGGAGCACAGAAAATAGATGGCACATGGGAGACTATGGGTGACATCCCTGACATTCCCAGCTGTTGTTGGAGCACTCTCTCCTCTCCCCTGCAGCCACTGCCTTTTGACACAAAGGATCACAGGATCAGACCAGAGTGGCCTGAGAATAGGAAAGTAAGGAAACCTTTCTTACACGGAGTAGTTAGGCGGGGGGTGAGAGCAGTTTTAAGATTAGTGGTAGCCCATAATTTCACATTAAATCCAACTTAAGGGTTCACAAATGTGTGGGACTGGGCTAATGCTATGCCTCTTTTAGAACCATGCCCATTTTAAATGAACGCCCCTCCCCTAATTAAAGTGCATTCTCCACCTACAACGGCTTGCTAGATGCACTGCAAAAAAAGTGTCCCTAAAATTTTTTTTAAATGTTGCCAATTATGCCTTTTTGGGGATGTAAGTTTTTAGTCCACAAAAATGTGCTACAATAGTTGGTTTCTTTTCCTCACTTATTGCTCCCCCCTTCCCCACCTTGACAGCTAGTGGAGGATCTTCTCCTCCCTCGCTAGCTGTCAAATTTAAAAAGTCATCTGTGAACGAGAGACTACAAGTCCCGACAGCCTTAGCGGCTATCAGCTTGTAGTCCTCAATGAACTACCATGGCGCTATGAAGCCTGATAGTTCATTCATTCTTCCTGTCAGTATATGTGCTTGCTCGTGCATCAAGTATGAGAAAGCAGATATACTGACAGATATGCAGGGGACCTTCATGGCACCATCAATCTGGCTGATCACTGGTGCAATGCTTTCCAGGCTCCTGCAGACGAAAATAATGAATTCACATTTTTTTTACCTGTAAAAAAATGTGCATTTTAATATTTTTTCTAAAAGGTAAACTTATCCTTTAAAATGGAGTCGGAGATCCCAAGATGCATCTCTTACCTTTCCTTAGAATGAAGGAGTTTTTTTTTTTTATTATAGCCAAACAGTCTCTAGTTTCTGTAAAACAGTAAATTTATTATCTGCTCCATCTAGTGGCCAAATTTGATGTTGCAGATAGGACAACCTAATGGATTTCCCTGCTGGAGGCAGAACAGTAACATTTAGTGAGTGGAATTGTCCATTCTGTAGAATATCAACTTCCAAATACAGCATTTATACTTAGCTCGCATCTAAGCCCTGTCCAGCTCAAACATGAAAATATTGCATTATGACCAATTGATGAAGCTTATGATCTTAAGAAACCAATGTACTAAGACAAAATACAGTGTTTGTTTATGACAGTCTGGTCAAACACTTGTGACATTTGTCCAACTTTTTTTTTCTATAAATGGGCCCCTTAGTTTTCTTCTATTAGCCCCTATCAAGCATGTACACTCACTGGCCACTTTATTAGGTACACCTTGCTAGTACCTGGGTTGGACCTCCTTTTGCCTTCAGAACTGCCTTTAATTCTTTGTGGCATAGATTCTATAAGGTGTTGGAAACATTCCTCAGAGATTCTGGGTCCATATTGACATGAGTTACTGTTGCCTCTCTATCACTTCGAACCAGTCTGCCCATTCTCCTCTGACCTCTGACGTCAACAAGGCAATTTCATCCACACAACTGCCACTCACTGGATATTTTTCTTTTTTTGGATCATTTTCTGTAAACCCTAGATATGGTTGTGTGTGAAAGTCGCAGCAGATCAGAAGTTTTTGACATACTCAGACCAGCCTGTCTGACACCAAAAACCTTGCCATGTTCAATGTCACTTAAATCCCCTTTCTTCCCCATTCTGATGCTCAGTTTGCACTTCAGAAAGTCATCTTCACCACATCTAGATGGCAAAATGCTGCCATCTGATTGGCTGGCTGATTAACAATTTGTGTTACCAAGCAATTGAACAGGTTGTACATAATAAAAATTGCCAGTGAGTGAATAATAATATATTACTCTTTTTGATCTGAGAATATTTCAATCTTATTCCAGGTTTACCGTTTGACCCCACATTCCTCTTGACTCTGGCGGTATCCAACGTGATATGCTCCATCGTATTTGGTGAACGTTTTGATTATGAAGACAAGAAGTTTCTTGGCCTTCTTACTATGCTGAAAGAAGCCTTTAGAATAATAAATTCATTAGCTGGGCAGGTAAACACAATATCTGACTGGAATGAAAGTAAGCAATGCATGTAAAATATTTATAGTTGGATTCTAAGTTAATCAAGTCTATAATCAATAGAGGTCATAGGAGTTCCCAAAAGAGCAGGCATTCTAGTACCATAATTTTTATTATAACTCTCTAAATAAAAAAGGACAGAACAAAAGAAAGATATGGAAATAGGTTGTGTTTAAGAAAGAAATTCTAGCATTAATCAACACCAACAATTAAGTTAAAATTTGTCTTATGGTGTGGCATATACATGTTTGGGTATATTCCTAACATTCATTGGATTTGAAGAAGAATTTTGAAAGCTACAAACTTCAGCATTACAGAAAAGGTCCAGTTGAATGTGACTAACTACTGGTAGTCATGCTTTTGGTTTTTTCCTATCCTACACTTGTAATAATTTCTTACATAGTTTGTTCTCATTCTTTATACTTTTTATAGCAATAGAGGTTCCTCCAATCTTCCTCCAATCAATTGAGAGCAATTTTTTGAAGGCAGATGGTATAACCCTTTTTTTCTGTGAGACAACCAGACCATGTAATAACTCAACAGAGTTATCCCTGTCCTGGGTGAACACAGGATGGGAACAGCTTGAACCAATGTAATATGCATATATGATACCTGGCCAATCCCTGTGGAAGCTGCAAATCGTTGTGCTACGCACCACTACTACAGTGATCACCACTAGCTTCTACTGTAGGTCGTGTGGGCAGGTAGCTGTCCTGCTGTATTGTGAACACAGGAGGTCACCCACTTGGCACTGGTGCCAATCAAGAGTGATTTGCATCTTCCCAATAAATGCAATTCAATGATTGGATGAGGTTGAGTGCAAACATAGTATGCAGCCAGACAATAGTGGCTACACTGGAGAGGAACGTATAATAGTGGAGTCAAAATTAATTGGAATATGATATATAAGACGTTGCAAGAGGACCAGTGTGAGCAATGGTTGAAAGACAGTCCCATGTCTTCAGAGAGCTGGGTTGAGTTTCAGATGCCACTGCTAAGTGCTCATTGAATGCTTTAGAATGTTGTATGGAGGCACTGGCAATCTGTGCAGCTCAGAAGCTTCTGCAAGAATATATAGCAAGTATGTAATGTTTCCACCCATCACTTTATATATGGCCCTCCAGGCTCAGCATGGAAGTCAAACCACAAAAGAGAAAAATTCCCAGCTCAACTTGCCAACCAGCCTGCAAACAAACCAAATTAACCTGTCTAACAGTATGCATTAAAAGCAGGGGTTTAGTTTAGCACACATTTGCAAATACATGCGCAAACTAAAGAGCCTCATCATGGCACCCTGATTTTCTGTAGTTCCTAACTCTACAAAATTTAAGAGCCCCCATAGTAGAGGCACATGTATTTAATGGATAGGCCAATGGCAGGTGGACCTGAGGGAGCCCACCCTCCTTAAAGGTACAGAAGTGCACTGGACACCCAGCATGTAGCACAATGGCAGTTAAGGTGTCCAGCCCCCTCACCAACAATTCAACAGTACAAAAAATGGCCACTATCCCAGTCTATAACTGGCCTTCACACCAAGGAGCACATGAAAAGTGCAACGCGCATGTCAAACAACATTTGCCAACCAGCCTGCAAACAAACTGAATTAACCTGTCTAACAGTTTGCGTTAAAAACAGGGGTTTAGTTAGCACACATTTGCAAATACATGCTTAAGCTACAGAGCCTCATCAAGGCATCCTGATTTTCTGCAGTTCCTAACTCTACAAATTTTAAGAGCCCCCATACTAGAGGCACATGTATTTAAAGTCATGGAAGTCTTCCACTCTTTGAGAATTGAGTCTTACATAATGATGAGCCTGAACAAACTATAAGTTAGATAATAGATATATTTCGGGGGTTCTGAGTAGGCCGAATGTATATGAAAATGTGCATAAAACACATTTATGCACTCCTAAAGATAACCCAACTCAAACAAAAAAATTTCAGTTGCTAAGTGAAAAGATATTTTAATGTGCTTTTGTCATGCATATAGAGAGAGTTTATAATTGGTTATTCTTATTGCAGCTACTAAATGCTTTCCCAAACCTTTTCCGCCATATGCCTGGACCTCATCAAAAGGCATTGAAAAATCTCTTCACTTTGAAAAGCATTTGTAATGGATAAGGTCAAGGAGCATCAAGAAACCTGGACCAGAACTGTCCCAGGGATTTTATTGACTGTTTCCTCATAAAGATGGAAGAGGTAAGATTTGCTCTGTTACAAATCACATTCCACTGGGTTTTGTCATACAAAAATGTAGATATAAAGTTTTTTGGTTTCTCATAGCAATTAATCAGCATATTCAGGATCATGTATTAGTTGTCTGTAGATAGCTGTAGCCTATTGCAGACAATAGGGCTACCAATAGCAGAATGTTGTACTATGTGCCATAGATAGAAGCACATAAAAGAGTTAACTGTCAAACTTTCAAGATGCTTCCAATTGCTTCATAACAGTATAGTATGTATAACAAAGAGCCATGGACTTTCTTGATTTTGAAAGCTTATCTCTCGGTAAAATGTTTTGTTTTTGGATTCGAATAGTGTGGAAAAGGGTTTGAAATTCTATCCTTCAAATTTTTGTCTTTTCAAGTTTGTATTCTTGTCAGAGACAGAAAGTAAGGGGGGAATTCCCCAGTAGGGTCACAGACAGCAATAAAATCATGATAGTGGTGCTAATCTTTCCAGACCCAATCCAAAAAATAGGTTTCACGTAGAACACCAGGCATCAAAGTAATTGTTTCCTCCAATTCCCTTCCCTATCCCCGAAAAAGCACAATCTTTATTTATCCAAATTTTCTAGCTAAATACCCCCTTTTTAAAATAAAATGAATGTAGTGGTCATGTGGTATGACAGTCAGCAGTGATGCAGGGACTATACACTCACTGGCCACTTTATAAGGTACACCTGTTCAATTGCTTGGTAACACAAATTGCTGATCACCCAATCACATGGCAGCAACTTACTGCATTTAGGAATCTGGATGTGGTAAAAGATGATTTGCTGAAGTTCAAACCAAGCAGCAGAATGGGGAAGAAAGGGGATTTAAGTGACTTTGCAGATGGAATGGTTGTTGGTGCCAGACAAGCTGGTCTAAGTATTTAAAAAACTGCTGATCTACTGGGATTTTCACATACAAACCATCTCTAGGGTTTACAGAGAATGGTCTAAAAAAGAGAAAATGTCCAATGAGCGCCAGTTGAGTCGACAAAAATGTCTTGTTGATGTCAGAGGAGAATATTTTATTTATTATTATTATTTATTACAGGTACTTGTATAACCTCATCAGTTTTACGCAGAACTTTACATATTTATTGTACACTCACATCAGTCCCTAACCCTCAAGGAGCGTACAGTCTAAAGTCCCTAACCTACATTCATACATACACATACTAGGGACAATTTAGACAGGAGCCAATTAACCTACCAGCATGTTTTTGGAGTGTGGGAAGAAACCAAAGTACCCGAAGGAAACCCACGCAGACACAGGGAGAACATGCAAACTCCAGGCAGGTGGTGCCGTGGTTTTTATTTATTATTTATTTCAGGTACTTATATAGTGCCGTCAATTTTACGCAGCGCATTTACATATACAGTTGCAAGAAAAAGTATGTGAACCCCTTGGGATTACATGGAGTTTTGCATGAATTGGGCATAAAATGTGCTCTGAACGTCATCTAAGTCACAACAATAGAAGAACACAGTCTGCTGAACATAATACTACACAAACATTAGATGTTGCCATGGTTTAATTGCACATAACATGTAAAAAAATTCACAGTGCAGGGAGGAAAAAGTATGTGAACCTTTGGACTTAATATCTGGTTGACCCTCCTTTGGCAGCAATAACCTCAACCAAAAGTTTCCTGTAGTTGCAGATCAGACCTGCACAACGATCTGGAATAATTTTGGACCACTCTTCTTCACAAAACTGTTTCAGTGTAGCAATATTCTTGGATGTCTGGTGTGAATCGCTCTCTTAAGGTCATGCCACAGCATTTCAATCGGGTTGAGGTCAGGACTCTGACTGGGCCACTCCAGAAGGCGTATTCTGTGCTGTTTGCAGCCATTGTTTTGTTGAATTACTTGTATGCTTTGGGTCATTGTCCTGTTGCATCCCCATCCTCTGCGGAGCTTCAGTTGGCGGACAGATGGTCGTACGTTTTCCTGCAAAATGTCTTGATAAACTCTGGAATTCATTTTCCCATCAATGACAACAATCCGTCCAGGCCCTGAGGCAGCAAAGCAGCCCCAAACTATGATGCTCCCTCCGCCATGTTTCACAGTGGGATGAGGTTTTGATGTTGGTGTGCTGTGCCTTTTTTTCTCCACACATAGTGTTGTGTGTTTCTTCCCAAACAACTCAATCTTGGTTTCATCTGTCCACAGTATATTTTGCCAGTAGTGCTGTGGAACATCCAGGTGCTCTTTTTGCAAACTTCAAACGTGCTGCAATATTCTTTTTGGACAGCAATGGCTTCCTCCGTGGTGTCCTCCCATGTACTCCATTCTTGTTTAATGTTTTCCTTATTGTAGATGTGTCAACAAAAAATGTTAGCATGTGCCAGAGATTTCTGTAAGTCTTTAGCTGACACTCTGGGATTCTTCTTTACCTCATGCAGCATTCTGCGCTGTGCTCTTGCAGTCATTTTTACAGGACGACCATGCCTAGGGAGAGTAGCAACAGTGCTAAACTTTTTCCATTTGTAGACAGTCTGTTTTACCGTGGACACATGAACATCAAGGCTTTTGGATATACTTTGGTAACCCTTTCCAGCTTCATGCAAGTCAGCAATTCTTGATCGTAGGTCTTCTGAGAGCTCTTTTATGCGAGGCATGGTTCACATCAGACAGTGCTTCTTGAAACCAGTAAACCCAAAACAGGTGTGTGTTTTTTTTAAGGGCAGGACAGCTGTCAGCAACACATCCAATATCATCACACTGATTGGAGTCAAGGTTGGCTCACTCCTGGCTCCAATTAGCTCTGGGAGAAGTCATTAAGCTAGGGCCTCACATACTTTTTCTCCCTGCACTGTGAATGTTTACATGTTATGTGCAATTAAACCATGGCAACATCTAATGTCTGTGTAGTATTATGTTCAGCAGACTGTGTTCTTCTATTGTTGTGACTTAGATGATGTTCGGGAGCACATTTTATGCCCAATTCATGTAAAACTCCACGTAATCCCAAGGGGTTCACATACTTTTTCTTGCAACTGTATATTGTACATTCACATCAGTCCCTCACCCTCAAGGGGCGTCCAATCTAAGGTCCCTAACTCACATTCATACACATACTAGGGCCAATTTAGACAGGATCCAATTCACCTACCAGCATGTCTTTGGCATGTGGGAGGAAACCGGAGCACCCGCAGAAAACCCATGCAGGCACAGGGAGAACATGCAAACTCCAGGCAGGTGGTGCCGTGGTTAGGATTCAAACCAACAGCCCTAATACTGCCAGGCGGAAGTGCTAACCGTATAAATAAAGACATTTTCAAATATATATATATATATATATATATATATATATATATATATATATATATATATATATATATATAAAGAGACAAAATATTTTACAAAATATTTTATAAAAAACAGATGTAATTCATAATCCCAATTTAACCCCGTAGGATAAATTGTATTTAGTTGTGAAATCTACCTCACTTTCTTCTGTTTTAGTTTTAACTCCGTTTCCCCCTCTCTTCAGTCGTGGCATGCGATAAAATACCATAAATCTCAATTGGGCCAAGAAGAAAAGAATTAAAAATCTCCTGCGCTGAAAGGACCGGATGAGGCATATGTTGAAAAGTCTTCACAGACCTTAGCATTCAAACCAATACGGCAATACTGTGCAGCCCCCTAAGGGCTGGGGTAGCCCAATATGGCACTAGAAAATAAGAAAATAAAAGGGCACACAAGTCTTGCACATTACCTCAATAAAAACTTTAATCGTACCAAATACTAGATGTATACTCACAAATGACAAATGTAAACAGGCATATCATGACCAACAATGGTCGTCTGAAAGGTGCACGAGTCCCCACATGTGAAAAGGACACTTGGAAATGGCTGACTTGTTTCGAGGAGCGATGGAGCGGACAGTGACCAGGTCGCGGCCCCTGAGTACACCCACCTGAGGTAGAGGAATCACCAGAGGTAATGACAGGTAGAGAGCCTGACGTGAAGAGGCAGACAGGTCTGGAGAGTAGCAGCTAATCTGTGCGGGTCGGATGGATAGCTGAGCAATAGCGTGGTCAGGTCGGTAACAGAGGGGTCAGCGTGGTACAAGGCAGCAGGCAGAAGAATAGTCAGGTCACTCGCCGGGGTCGGTACCAGTAGTTCAGATCAGGTAGGGATATCCAAAAGAGAGGTCAAACTTAGCCAGGGGTCAGAGCAGGAGAAGTCAGCAGAGGTCAGGTCCAGGCAGGTCAGCAACAAATCTCAAACAACGGGAACACAGGAACCAGATCAGACCATACGGCAACTTGTGTCTGTGCAGGGCTGATTTAAGTAGCCCGCCCTGCACCTGACAGGTGCAGCCTAGGTCCTAGTGCCTGCCCAGCACCGTCATAGGCGACGGGTGCGCCTGGGTCCTAGTGCCCTGATGCCTGCATGTCTTGACAGACACCTACGCATGTGCAGACCCATGCGTCGCAATGGTCCCTGACACATTCACATTCCACTGTACCTCAAACAAGCACCAGTTTTCCAGCAAAATCTCTGTCAAGAACACCTTTCCACTCGCTGCTTACTGGGTGCAAGGGTGAGTTTTACTGAGTGGAACATAATGGACCTTAGCCAAGCCCAACACATTTCATCATAGGACATCATTAGAAATGGCTTCCTGTTTAATTTTAAACAATTTTAATAAATTGGCTACAAAATGGAGATTCCCTCAATGATTGCATCTCTCTTGACTCATTGGGAAGGGAGATATTGGCAACATTTTGGAAGGTTACTTGAGGTTTCTTGGCAGTGCAGACTTACTACCTGAGGGGAGAAGGAGAAGATATTGTATTTCTGGAGCATTTATGTGACTTTTCTTACATATGTAAAAAGTCACAACTATTTCTGGTGTGTGAGCACACCCAAGGGGAAGACACCGAAGATCAATTGTG